AGCAAATTCCTATGTAACATGCATTAAACTCACCGATTAAACTCATGAGCATACTCAAAGGAGAAGGCATCATGCCACACGCAACATTTTTTTAATGAAACATTTTTTATTGAATATACTTATGAACATTCTTAAAGAGCATATACTCATGAAGATACTCAAAGAGCTTATACTTAAGAAGATACTCAAAAGATATATGCTTAGTGAGTTTATTCTTATAGTTTTTAAAAAGCAAAGTAATTTTTAATTTAATTCCTTGAGAAACTCTTGACATTTAATTCAGAAAACTTAAAATTGTAAAAAGTTTCGTACATTTTTGTATTACATATCTAAAATATTCAACATTTGCTTTTAAGTTGGTTGACAATTTTTCAAAATGTCAAATAGATATATTTATAAATATTATATGCTCATGAGTATGTTTAGGAAGTGTATTCATAAGAGTATATTCACATAAGTATGTTCTTAATATTCTCATAACATGTTCAGTAAGTGCACTCATATGAGAACGTAAAAAAATTATGTCACACAGAAGTGAGTATGTTCTTAATATTCTCATGAGAATATCCAGTAAGTGCACTCATATGAGAACGTAAAAAAATTATGTCACACAGAAGTGAGTATGTTCTTAATATTCTCATGAGAATTTTCAGTAAGTGCACTCATATGAGAACGTAAAAAAATTATGTCACACAGAAGTGAGTATGTTCTTAATATTCTCATGAGAATATCCAGTAAGTGCACTCATATGAGAACGTAAAAAAATTATGTCACACAGAAGTGAGTATGTTCTTAATATTCTCATGAGAATTTTCAGTAAGTGCACTCATATGAGAACGTAAAAAAATTATGTCACACAGAAGTGAGTATGTTCTTAATATTCTCATGAGAATTTTCAGTAAGTGCACTCATATGAGAACGTAAAAAAATTATGTCACACAGAAGTGAGTATGTTCTTAATATTCTCATGAAAGTTTTCAGTAAGTGCACTCATATGAGAACGTAAAAAAAATATGTCACACAGAAGTGAGTATGTTCTTAATATTCTCATGAGAATTTTCAGTAAGTGCACTCATATGAGAACGTAAAAAAATTATGTCACACAGAAGTGAGTATGTTCTTAATATTCTCATGAGAATTTTCAGTAAGTGCACTCATATGAGAACCTTAAAAAAATTATGTCACACAGAAGTGAGTATGTTCTTAATATTCTCATGAGAATATCCAGTAAGTGCACTCATATGAGAACGTAAAAAAATTATGTCACACAGAAGTGAGTATGTTTTTAATATTCTCATGAGAATTTTCAGTAAGTGCACTCATATGAGAACGTAAAAAAATTATGTCACACAGAAGTGAGTATGTTCTTAATATTCTCATGAGAATTTTCAGTAAGTGCACTCATATGAGAATGTAAAAAATTATATCACACAGAAGTGAGTATGTTCTTAATATTCTCATGAGAATTTTCAGTAAGTGCACTCATATGAGAACGTAAAAAAATTATGTCACACAGAAGTGAGTATGTTCTTAATATTCTCATGAGAATTTTCAGTAAGTGCACTCATATGAGAACGTAAAAAAATTATGTCACACAGAAATGAGTATGTTCTTAATATTCTCATGAGAATTTTCAGTAAGTGCACTCATATGAGAACGTAAAAAAATTATGTCACACAGAAGTGAGTATGTTCTTAATATTCTCATGAGAATTTTCAGTAAGTGCACTCATATGAGAACGTAAAAAAATTATGTCACACAGAAGTGAGTATGTTCTTAATATTCTCATGAGAATTTTCAGTAAGTGCACTCATATGAGAACGTAAAAAAATTATGTCACACAGAAGTGAGTATGTTCTTAATATTCTCATGAGAATTTTCAGTAAGTGCACTCATATGAGAACGTAAAAAAATTATGTCACACAGAAGTGAGTATGTTCTTAATATTCTCATGAGAATATTCAGTAAGTGCACTCATACGAGTGTATTCACATAAGTATGTTCTTAATATTCTCATGAGTACACTCGTTGAATGTACTCACGTGAGCTTATAAATTTTTTGCAAAAAAATAAAATGAGTACATTCGTAATGAACTCCTGAGCATGCTCACTTGAATGATTATTTTTGAGTAGACTCTCTTATATGCTCACTTTTCTGAGCATGCTCTTTGTATGTTGCGAGTACCAACTTGACATGATGCTTCTTGAATGAAAATCATACAAACCACACGATATTGACTGAGTCCACTCACTTCTATCTCCACTATGGCAATTTCGTTTGTGCTTCCATTGTTGTCCAGCTGATCATCTTCATCCTCTAAAAGCTTCATGAACCGCTGAACTGTGTTGAGCAAATTTGACGTTGACATCTTGAATTGTTGATCCTCTCACTTTGAATGTTTACACAATACTGAAGAAATTTCAGAATTGGTCAAATTTCAATGGTTGCTGGGATAATTATTTTCATTTGTAAACTGAATTTTTATCATTTTGTAAGAAAAGAAAATGACATTTTCACCAGCACAAAATGCATGATTTTTTAAATCAAATATATAATAAATACGATGAGACCACGCAAAAAGCAGAAAGTATTAGTAATAGTAATGAATCAAACGTAGAGTCCAATCAAATGCAATGGGAACATTTCGATAGTGAGGAAGTGAAGTGCAGCAGAAAAATTGATCAAGGAGAAAAAGAAATGAGGATTATTATTATTATTTATTTGTCGACGTTACCGTCCGGAAGAATTAGTATTTATACATGTTTTACTTTTTACATTGATTAGTGATACATTTCATATAACTATGGGTGCCGTAGAATCAAGCTTCTAATCTTCAAATCTAGGTTTCGATTAAATTCAGGCTCTCGTTTTAATCTTCTGTGGGCGTGACGTGATACATTTCAGGTCCGTTCTGACAATATTCCATTATAAGGTAATCTTGTAGCTCTCATTCCTATTTCTCCCGCTACACTTCAAGTTCCTGATCCGTTCCTTAATCCAACGTTGCCCAAATGCCCAATTATGGCTTGATCTCATACATTAAGCAGTTAAAGTATCTAAACTTCTGAAATAGAACAAATTTGGAAATGGCTGGATTCGAACCGACGACCTTCGAGTTACCATACCAAATTTGAGCCAAGCGCCTTACTTATTCGACCAGCAAAGCACTTAACTGCTTTTAAGGCTTGATGTGCATGGATATATGTACTTGGTGATGATACTATATTACTCAAAGTTATCGTGCAAAACAACCTCGTCCTCGACGTCTTTTTACTGAATACAGTCATTCACACTCTCATGGATTTATTTTTAATTCTCCAAATTAAAATTAGAAAATCAATTAAGTACAAATGGTCAAAAAGTACAAAAAAGTCAAATATTTTGGTTGTCTTCTTCTAAATCTACATTTTAAGGCTGTTAAAAGACATTTGGCATCATATCATTCGCATCATCTTTCTTTTCTTGAATTAATTTCATATCTCGTTAAGCTGAGTGACGCCCATTAAAAGCTGCAAAACATCAGTATCGAATATTTTCTCAGCAACTGTATTACTCTGTCAAATCTTGTTGTGAATTATGACCATTCCTCTAAAATGTACATCAGGGCTTGGATTCGCTATTAACGACGATGGAGTTTTAATTTTCTCACAACAATTGGCACTATTAGATGTCAGAATTGCTAATGCACCACTAAATGCTAAAGCTGTTTCTTCATCTTCCTCCTCGCACAATAATGCTAAGAATTTTACGTGATCATTGTCTCCTTCATGCCATTTTATATAATCCTCATTCAAAAACCATGTTGCAAATTACTTGTGTAGCAGCTCTAGTGAACAAAATGTCATATTCCATTAAGAATATTTCAATACGTGATATTCCTTTCTCTTTAATTATGCGATTACGAATTGAATCATTCATTTGAGCTAAGTTACAAAGTGCTTCAAAGTTCTCAAGTGCACTATAGTCTGGATGAAGTTGAATATGTAATGGTCTAACAACTTCCAATGATCGTTGTCTAGGAAATTCTCACTCGGGATTGATAGTGATGCCTAAACGTGACAAAGCCTGACCAGCATTTCATTTGCCCTTTACAGTACCTAAAGTAATTTAAAACAAAATTGAAAATAAATCAAAATTAATGTGGCCACTTTATCTATTTTCCGACGGAACTGTTAAAAAAATGCATTAATAAAGTTAGAAATGCGTACCTTTTAATGCAAGCTGAATTAAGACACGAGCACCACATTGTTGAACAATCTTTCTTCTGACACTATTTTCCGAGCAAATTGCATTATAAACTCTCGCAATCATTTCTTTGGCATTGTCACTTTCAGTTTTTGATAGAGCTACTAAGGTGACAGTAATTCCTTCTTCTGCCAATGTATTTATACGTTTGGCTACAAAATCTGGATAATCAAGTTCTGATTCTTCTGGAACATGATGTTTTGCGAATTTAGCAAGTTCCATAAGTTCAAGAAGCATTTCCTGCTTTTCATAAGCTTTCACAAGATTAAGCATACACCGTTAATGAATGATTGATCACCTGTTTTAGCTAGCTCAATGAGTGCTTTAATAGCCAGTTTATCATCAATTAATTTCTCTATAACATCAGTATCAAGTGTAAGGAATGACAATCGTTCAGCTTCAAATTTACGAATGTCTTTTATTTATTAATTTTGAGGTTTCAGAAGGTGATCATAACTCAAATATTTATCAAGAATTTGTATGAAATGGCCGTACTAAAGAGTTCTGTGGGAAATATTGTATTCTGTAGAGATATTTGAAGAAGGTTATAGCAAAATGGAACCAATTGTCATCATTATGCTTAAATGAATTATAAATCTAGAACTTTTTTCGAATAATCAGAATTGCCAATTATCATCATCAATGTTAAAGCTAAAGAGTACACGTTTAAGATATCAAAATGTACACATGTTATTTCAAACTAAATGATAAGAAGTTCAACTTGCTGTTCACCAAAACAAATTTTCATTAAACGATTTTAGTATGTCAGTAAGTCTTGTGGCAATGAAAATAATAATTTTGATTCTTTTTGCCACGTTAATTAAGTGTGCAGTCAGTGAATTTTTCTCATCAACTGATGAGCTGAGAAATTTAGTGAAAAATGATCAAAAGCTTTTAAGTTCATTGAAGGAATTATCAAAAGAGTTAGAGAGAACCAACTTATATGTCAAAAAGTAAATCACTTATCAGCATTTTACTTCCTTAGTTTTAATTTGTGCATAGCCTTGATATTTTAAATTTAATCTCAATAATATAGAATATTAAACAACATTAAAGATGAGCACATATTAATGACAAAAGATGTCGACAGCTACATATTCAATCCACTTAATGCATTCTCTTTAATCAAACGATTAACACATGATGTTGATTCTATCCAACAGAGCTTGGAGTTTACGAAAAAAATTACAGCGAAACTAGAAGAAATTAAACTTCCAGAAAGTGAACTTAGTGGTGCTGTGGAAGGAATATATCGCTTACAGAATGCTTATGAACTAAAAACCGAAGATTTTGTCAGAGGAATAATTCAAAATAAACGGTACAGACGGGAATTATTACCTTCAGATTTGATTGTACTTGCTAAAGAGATGAGAAAATTTGATGCAAAATACACTAATGATTACTTTAAAGTAGCAAAAGAATTAAGTTTGAAATATGATCAACATACTAGACTTAGCTTTTTGGAAGAGCTTTTCGAAATTTATAATTCAACATCTAAATATGATGAAGCAGTTGATGTGCTTGATGAAATTCTCAAAATTAATCCATCATTTCCAAAATATGAAGAAACGAGGATGAATATTGAGCTTTTATCACTGTTTAATAACCAAAATGATCAAATGGAGGCAATTGAAGATCCATACTTACTTGAAGGATCACATTACACAAACCCAAAAGAAGGCATGATATACAGTAAAGCATGCAGACAAGAATTAAAAAAATCAATCCATGAAACATCACAGCTTCACTGCCGTTATATCTCAAAAACATTCTTTACTAAAATTGCACCATTTAAGTTTGTTGAAGCAAATTTAGATCCATACATTGGCATTTACCTTGATGTAATTTCTGAAAAGGAAATTGAGTCACTAAAGACTTTAGCACGCGAAAATTTACATAGAGCTGAAGTTTTAGGCTTTAATAAGACTACAAGAGTTTCAAGAGTACGAGTCGCACAGTTGAGCTGGCCTGATGAGTGGAAGCACACAATTTTCCAAACACTCAATAATAGGGTCAATGACATGACTGGATTAAACATGAAGACATCAGAAAGATGGCAAATTCAAAATTATGGCATCGGTAACGCATTGTAGCTTTTTCGTTTAGGTCCATTCACTAATTACGTCTACAATTAAGAGATGGTTTGAGGAGTCAGTTTTTGTGATTGAACAAAGGTTCAATTAATGGATGTCATTTGTGAACGTCTGTTAATCTAACTCTTGCTAATCTAATGAAACTATTGTTTTTTTTTCAGGAGGATTTTACGGAGCCCATCACGATTATGCTGACGTTGGTCAAATATTTGGAGGTGACACTGGAAATAGGATAGCAACTACATTGCTTTATGTATGCCTTTATTAATTCTATTTAAATTTGTTTTAAAAAATAGTTTATTTTAGCTTTCAGACGTTGAAAAGGGTGGTGGAACTGTTTTTCCGCTGCTTCGTATTTATGTACCTCCAGTTAAAGGCACTGCTGTATTTTGGTATAACTTGAGTTCTTCTGGTGATCGAGGTACTCTTTATTTGAAGTCTGTTGAATTTATAGAATGTCTGATTTGTCTTTTGATTTTAGAATATTTAACACGTCATGCAGCATGTCCTGTGTTGATTGGTAGCAAATGGGTTGCAAATAAATGGTATGTTATATCCTCACAAAGAATAAAAATATAATCTAATTAATCAATTTAGGATTCGAGAATATGGACAGGAATCTGCAAGACCTTGTGATTTAACACCGAAGCTCACAGACGAGAAATATTTCTTAAGGCTTTATGACTTAAAGGACTATGGAATTGATGCTTAAAATTTTGATGTTTTGTTTACTTCCTGATTTAATGCAATTGTTCTTCCGATAAGAGATATCGTTTTGTAATTATGCTGTATTTTTATGAGTACTATGAGTGAGGATAAAAATATTAGAATTGCCACTAATAAACCTGTGAATAATAATAATCTTTAATTAACACAATTTTGTTTTTTGGACATGGAAGTTGTTCACTTATTAGCCAGAACTCGAAATTGACTTCAAGATTTGCTTATTATGATATGCAGCTTTAGTTTTTCTTTAGACCATACTAGCTATGAACCAGACGTAATAAATGAACATCCTCAAGTTACACATACCAGTATCAAAGACTACAAAAAGCTTTTCAGCTGTTTCCGAATCATGACTGCACATATCAAAACTTCCGACCATGCACCTTCCAAACTCCATTAAAAAATAGATGAAACAAGTGATAAGAAGTTGAACATTTGATTGAATTACTCCAATTATCATTAAAGCACCAAAGAATGCTATAGCAATGTTCAAAATCACAGTAATTGTCAAATTGAAGTTTGTAAACTCTTCGAAGTATTTAATCACAAAAGTCACTGAATAGATTATTTCTAGAATTGAAAGGAAGCTTAAAATTATGCATCCTAAGGCAAGAAACCCCTTAAGACTACACATTTCGTTGAAATTTTGTTCGCGAATGATTAAAACAACATTATGAGCTCAATTATTGTATGATGAGACACAGTTGAGTCAACAAAATAAATTTTTCCAGCTTATAAAGAAGATGTATTGTGTAAGAAATAATATTTAAAGTTGTTTATATTCTTGATGCTGTGACAATTTTGAACGCATTATTAAAGAGTTAATCTCATAAAATGTTAAAGTAGGGTTCACTTAAATCTTAGACAAATACCCTCCTCTTGAAAATCGTGAATTTTTGTCTAAAACAAAGCTAAACTAAGTCTGATGCAAGTCTTATTAGGCTTATTAGTGTGCTAGTGATGTATCGTGATATGTGTTTCTAGTGTGAGGTTGATGTGTGATGTTCAAGAATCTATGATTTTGAGATTTTGATGATGAGGTCCAAACCCAAACTCAACATGATGTTTGACGCTACTAAAGAATTATAAAGGTTGATTATTAAGAAAAAGACAATGAATTTACATTTAAAATATTAGGGAAATATTTTACCCACTGTATAAATATCGTCATAATTTATTTTAGGTAGTTATTATTATTATTCATTCATAATAATTACAACTATGGAAATAATCAAAAAAGTTGTATAATAGGTTAACAAATTTACCAGTTTCGTTACATTCTTTCTTAAAATACTTTAATTAGCAAGTATAAAAAAACAAGGTTCAAAAGAAACAGCACCTTCTACTTGGGGATTTTCATGTTCTCTCCGTGATGAGAATTCTTCATAAGTTTTCTTTTCTTGAGGACTCTCGGAGCAACTGTATGTGTCCAATGGCTTATCCTCTTCATTGATTGTTTTATAAAGTTTCATGACCAAAACTAAGACTATTACTTGAATAACTGCAAAGACATAAATTGTTTTGAAATTTCAGAGTCTATTTGTTTGATAAATCTAAGACTTGACATCAGGATTAGTGCATACCCTAAAGAGTTTCACTTCATTATTGTTCTTTTGATTTAATTAAAATCCAAAGATCAATTTTTTTAAAAACGTTTAAAATTTATTAATTAAAAATGCACGACTCACTTGAAGTAATTATTGTATTTATCACCAAATTGTTATGAAAAATTGTATGCTTTTCGGCATCAAAGTCAAATACTGAAAAAATAATTGCCCCAAATTTTAAAATAAAACAAATCATCCAAATCTCGAGGAAAATTTTTGATTCTGTTAAAGTTCCAGTTAATAGTAGCAAGTTCATTGCAAAAATAGAGTAGCTTAACATCGTCTTGGACGTCATTGCCATATTATTAATTATTATATGATGTAAACTGAATATAAATCTCCATAATGCATAAATAACAATTAGCACTTTTAATGTAAGTTTTGTCCAATTCATTGTTTGTTTAATTGAATCCTATTTCCTTGATTTACTTTTGAATATGAGCTTTAAAGCTCTACTTTAAAAACTTTTGGCATCATCGAAAAATTCACCTAAATTATTGTTCAATAAATACAATATTTTAAGCCATACACAATTTGTTTTGGAAGTTAAAAATTTATAAAAGTTTATCCTTGTAAATTCGCAAAAAAATTATGTGGTGTAATATATGAGAAAAAGATTTTGCGCAGAGATTTTTATTCATTCTCATAAAGATCTAGTTCATGTTAAAATAACGAATTTCAATAATTCGAAACCTCATTTTTGCGAAGTCCCATTTATTTGAATTTTCATTTGTTCATATCGACTACATACACTGTAATGAAAACTATTTGAGCAATACACAATGATTCAGATTTGGAAAAAATGTTCAAAAATTCCTTGTGCACAATATTTTTCTGACACATTAGAAAATTGAAAGTTTTTGTTGATTTCTTTTGATTTGATTCTTTTAGCATCTTCTACATAATATTTTCGTTCATTGCTCAAAAAATCAGTCCTTAATATAAAGGATAAACATGTTTTTTTATCAAAAGTTTGTAAAAGTTTATCAAAAAATATTGTGCATGATCAAACTTTGTATGAAATTTTATGTAAACTTTGATCGCAAATATCTCGAAAACGGCATCAAACGGCATGTCCTCAGTAATATGGGAGATAGATTAAAGCTTATTTAATTGATTTATATAGGTTTCAGAGAGGTCTTTGGAAGACTTTTTAACTTATGAATAGTTTAAGTTTTGTAAAAATACTCAGATTTCAATTCCATTTTTAAGGCTTAATAAGCAGATTTCTATTGAGTTGGTTGTTTTAATATGTAGAGCTAAGCTTAAATTAGCTAGCAACTGCTTTCAAGACATCCAAATAACAACTTAAAGTAGAAAAAATCACATTTCTTTTTTCATACTCAAATTGTAAACAAATTTTGGGTGAGATTAAATTAATGATTTCTGGAGTTAGACAGCAAATAGGAACGAGATATTTTTAAAGGATATGCACAAAGGAAAGATCTTTTATCTGGCATTTAAAAGGCAAAGCACAATGATTCAGATTTGGAAAAAATGTTCAAAAATTCCTTGTGCACAATATTTTTCTGACACATTAGAAAATTGAAAGTTTTTGTTGATTTCTTTTGATTTGATTCTTTTAGCATCTTCTACATAATATTTTCGTTCATTGCTCAAAAAATCAGTCCTTAATATAAAGGATAAACATGTTTTTTTATCAAAAGTTTGTAAAAGTTTATCAAAAAATATTGTGCATGATCAAACTTTGTATGAAATTTTATGTAAACTTTGATCGCAAATATCTCGAAAACGGCATCAAACGGCATGTCCTCAGTAATATGGGAGATAGATTAAAGCTTATTTAATTGATTTATATAGGTTTCAGAGAGGTCTTTGGAAGACTTTTTAACTTATGAATAGTTTAAGTTTTGTAAAAATACTCAGATTTCAATTCCATTTTTAAGGCTTAATAAGCAGATTTCTATTGAGTTGGTTGTTTTAATATGTAGAGCTAAGCTTAAATTAGCTAGCAACTGCTTTCAAGACATCCAAATAACAACTTAAAGTAGAAAAAATCACATTTCTTTTTTCATACTCAAATTGTAAACAAATTTTGGGTGAGATTAAATTAATGATTTCTGGAGTTAGACAGCAAATAGGAACGAGATATTTTTAAAGGATATGCACAAAGGAAAGATCTTTTATCTGGCATTTAAAAGGCAAAGTTTAATTAACATGAAATTTTTGAATTTTTGAACATTTTTTTCGATTCTGAATCATTGTGCAAAGTTTAATTAACATGAAATTTTTGAATTTTTGAACATTTTTTTCGATTCTGAATCATTGTGCAATATATAATGTTGAGAGCTGTACATTCGAAATTCAGAATCGAATGGAAGCACCAAGCAGACTATACATTAATCTTAAAAGAGCTTATAAAACAAGATATTTGCTGTCTAAGTATCAAGTTATTTGTGATACTTATATTACATTTCTGTGCTTAGCTGGAATTAGCAAAACAAAAGAAACGTTTAAAAAATATTTGAATTTCCTCCTATGCAATTCAGGGGAGCATCAACGCAGTTAAAATCAAAACAAAGTAGAAGTAATATTTCTTCAGCATAAAAATCCTTTAATTAATGGTCTAAAAGCCAGTGAAACGATAAGAACCTACTGAAAACTTGTTTTAAAATAGCATTTGAATACATAGATTGTTAAAACGTCATCAAATCAACGTGAGATACTCAATAATTAAGTACTATATGTGAAGAATAATAAAAGTAGATTGATGAATCATCTTGTTTAATCTCTTGTATTGTTTTTCATCTAGTTCCAATTTTCAATTTCTTTATAGAATGAATTCATACGATAGTGGTGATGCCGATTTTCAACGTCATTCTCAATTTATCAGTACCAGCGTACAAAAAATTTATCAAAATGGCAAGTTCTTTATTCCTTAATTGTCTTTCACTTAAATTAACTATTTTATTAATAAAATTATAGTTTCGTCTATGAATCGTATGGTAAATCAAGTTGGAACTGCTCAAGAGACTCCAGAAATTAGACAGCAACTGTAAGTAAAATCAATAAAATTTTACGCAATTAATTTGATGATTTGACACATCCACAAATGTTTTCAGACATCAAATTAGAACTTATACTCAGCAACTAATAAAGGATACTGATGCATCATTCAAAGATATTGTAAATTGTAAGGATCGTCATTTAAAAATTCAAAGAGATCGCTTGGTTGATGAATTTACAGCTGCATTAACGGCATTTCAAGCTGTACAAAAGAAAACTGTTGAGTTGGAAAAAAATGCAGTTCGGCAATCGAAAGCTCACATTTCGATTCCAAAACCACCGTCAAGTAAAACAAATAACAGTTATTCAGATTCACCATTTGAGAATAATTTTGTGGACAACAGAGGACAGACTCAAGCTCAGCAGCAACAAGAAGAAATCGACTTACAGGCATTAGAGGAACAGGAACGAACGATAAGAGAATTAGAAGAGAATATTGTAGGTGTTAATGAAATTTATAAAAAGCTAGGTGCATTAGTCTACGAACAAGGTCAAACAATCGATTCGATTGAGGCTTCCGTTGAAAATGCAAGCGTTTTTGTGACAGATGGAACTGAGCAGTTACGGCGTGCGAGTCATTATAGTGTAAGTAATGAGTTATGAAATTATGCTTGTTATCCTATCTAATGCAATTATGATTTATTTATATGTTTTAGAACCAAGCAAGGAAGAAAAAGGTGATATTGGCTCTCATTCTTGCAACAATTGTGGCTGTTATTTTATTACTGATATTCTTCCGAAATTAAAACCATTAGCATTGCTTGTTAATCATCACTTTTAAAGTATAGTTCTAATCTTTCCATTGATTTATTCTTAAAGTTAAGTCCTTGTGACTCGACTAACACAAAATCAATCAAATTATAATGTGTTTAGCTTTGTTTCTATTCTACTTCCCCCACTTACTTATGTATTAATTAAAATTCATTTTTGTTATCAATTATTATCAATAATTGATGGAAGTACGGCTGATATAAATTTTATCAAACAAAGAATTGTCTAGCAATGTCATACATTATAATTTAATTATATCCATATTCTTTATTAATAAATAAAAACATAATTTATGTAAATACACAGAAAAGAAAGGAAGAAAGGGTTTACTCACTCAAAATTGTATATTTCTTTATATTGGACATGTTCTTAGAAATTTTCTTATAATAAAATATTCACATTTAACGAATCTACTTATAATATTTTGATTTTGACCTAGTTTAGGGATGATTGGGGCATGTACTGGATTTCGATATATTTGGCACATCTTTCGATTTTTATGATTATATGGTTATAGAACTTCGGAATTTAAAAGATTGCATGACATCCTGTTTCACTGGTATAATCATCTAATTCTGCTAGGATTTCACTTATTCGAAAGCTTAAAACAGCACAATGGGAAACACTTTGAAGTCGGGGTCTTAAGCTGTTTGATATTAAACAAGAATTACGATTAAAAGCGCTATTAATAATCTCAACCTCGACTTTAGGGTATCTGGAATACAATTTTAAGTTGCTCAATGTAATGAGAAGCGAATGAAGAGGATTCAATTCTTTCCGAAAAATCTCTCCAAACATGTTTTTAAATTGATGCTTGATGACACTTCATGATTTTAAGAATCAAATGAAGAATAATCAAAAGACAGGAAATAATCATCACACCCACTCAGCCATTTCGTCAAAAATCATACGTGATACTCAAAAATCATACGTGATTTTCTAAAAGAGACCTCAAAGTATGGTCGAATCATGCCTGAATGAAAAGATATAAATATATTAAAAACATAAATCATAAATCCATTACAATGATAGATTCAAAAAAAAAAAAGGAAAGAAAAATTTGTCTTCGACATCTGTTGATCAATATTCAATGGAAGTTTTACTTCAAAGGAAAATGAAAAATAAACATCCATCCTGAATATGGCACTTGAAGCGATTTTCATTTTATGATGACATTCATTAGAAATAAGAATCTTCGATGAAAAATTATTCATTCTATTTTCTCGTTCCAATCCTATCAAAACATTCTGGACGTATATATTAAATTAAAGAAAATATTCAAGTGGACATTTGACAGATTTGAGAGTGTGGAAATGAACATCAATGCGTAGATGATGAGGAACAAAATTCTAGTAAGCATGTCAAGAGCTAGTAAAGCGCATTTTTAACAATCAAGATTCAAGAAGAAAGTGATGTCCAAAAACTTAACGACATATTAATAGTTGATCGTGATCGATTCATAAATGATCGATTGTTTACATCATCTTCATCACTAATGTCTTAATAATGTTTATTATTGGGGTCTTACTTTAAGAGAAGGGGGGTGGGGGGGGTTATGACACTAATATAAAAAAATTAAAGATCCGAACCAACATTTTCCATTTGAAGGTCGTAAACTCCAAAAAAAGCAATTGAATCTAAAGACACATTTAAGCATACACGAACAGCCAAAGTGCCAGAATTACTGTCTCCAAACTTTAAAAATTGAAGTAAAAATCTATTTTTGACTTGTTTATTTTTAACACCCACCTCACACATAGCTAGCCATTATTCCTCAGCATTCTTCTTTGTCCTATGCCAAAAAATTATTCTTTAACTTGGTCATGACATCGATAATGATGATGACGTTAAAAATAAACATTGAGAAATTGAATATGTGGAGATATTAAACCTTTAAGAATGAAGAAATTATATTTAAAAAGTCATTCAGTGACACAAAGGCATTGATGTTGTTTACTTTTAGTCAAACCTCATTGTGGCATGAAAGGAGACAAAATGGGATTTAAAAAAGGTGTAGAAAATTCAAGAATCATGACCACACAATTATTTCTGCATGTTTATCTTTCATTTTTTTCTTCTTTCCTTTCTAGCTTCCTTTTGTTGTGCCAATAATGCTGAATAATTTGGATAATAGGGACATCCAAAAAAAGGAAATTTGCACATTGATGAATAGAATTAACTTTACTTACCATGCAAAACCTATCCCTAATACATGTGAGAACTCCCAATCGATTGATTCTTCATTATTATCATAATCTCCGCGCTTATTGCTTCCTTCGTTTATTTGTTTGAAATTAAAGATTCTTCACTTCCGTCTCTCTCGATTATCTTAAATTGATATATTTTTATTTATTTTCTTAACTGAAATCTATCGTTTCTTTTATACTAATCGAGTTGTGGATAATGTGAACATCCAACACGCAGGAATGTTTTATTTTAGTAAGGAATTTTTCAATTATCAAATGGCTTGAGCTAATAGTTCCGGTGTTACAAATGATTTATAAACTTTTTGACCACAGGTTTTTTGGGATTAAAATTCATTTGATAGCTTTTTATTGAATCAGAGAGTAGCTGCTTAATTTTCAGCAGCCAACGAATGAAAATGAAAGCTATGGACTCTAACTCAAACATTTTGTTGCAAAGAACATCTATGAAAGCTTGGCTGTAAATTTTAACATATAGTTCCTTTAAAAACTCAGTTAACTTGCTGAATTGCTCACATTTGAATTAGTACCTCATTAAAGGTTCATACAGGTCACTCATTAAATTATGCCTGAGAAATTAAATCAACTCAGTCGTTAAAAAAACAGAAATGATTTCATTGTTTGTGTCATTCCACTCACTCTCTCTGTAATAACGTTTGAAATTACCTTTTTGTTCATCATTATTTTCATTTTATGACAAACTGAGATGCTCACGACTAAAAAGTACCGAGGACATATTTATTTTTGCTTCAAAAAGAAACTTCAGATTGTTTTTAAACATTTGTAGATTTTTAAATCGATATTTTAGAGATTATTATATGTCAATTACTTTATACAGCTATGTCCTTTATGCAAAACTAAAGGAGCTTCTGTAAAGGACAAGGCGTGGAAACTATCCTAAATATCTCAAAAATATTCAAAATAATCTCTGAGCCTGCATGCATTAGAATTGAGATATCCCATCATATCCTGAAATTACACGTCCAATACACTAGGGATACGTTGAGATATCTTTATTTTCGTGCATACATGCTCAGGAATTTTTTGAATATTTTTGGGATATGTGATATGGGCCTCGACGTTTTTTAAGGATTTTTGCTTAACGGAAGAAAAAAAAATTTGAATTTTTCACTAACACTATCATACAAAACATCAAAAATTAAATTCTTAAAATTCTTAATTATTCAATCATTAATCCAAAATATTATGATTTGAATAGGAAAAGTAGATGATGCATTAGCTGTTCCGACTATTTTAAGAGCTTTTACATCATTATTGAGTGATATTTTCGTGACTTTTCTATTTTCTTTTTCGATTTTGTTTGTAAACAAACAAAATACAGCCGAAAAAATTCAAAAAGTTAAAACCGTTAAAAAAATTTTAACTTAATTTTGTCCATTTGAGCATGTTAATGCAACAATTTTAAATTTTTTATAAACTCAAAAAGAACAGAATTGAATTTCGGACCTAAACTAAAAAAATACATTTGGAGATATATCAATAAACAATAATGAAGATATAGCAAAATTCCCAAAAATTGTACGTGAGTGACGCTTAGTTAAAGTGATTTTTTCGAGTAACAGTAAACTTTCATGAAGTGAATTGTACAACAATTGATGGAGATTTTAATTCTCTTTTCAAAAAAGTAGCTCTTAAATTTGTCACTTTTAAGAATAAGGAGATAATCAAGAATAACAAAGCGTCACTCACGTACAATTTTTTTGTGACGAGGCCCGTATAAATATGATATTTGGGATAGTTTCTACGCCTTGGTAAAGCATGATAGGCAATAAGTCAAGGGTTCGGAACTGATCAAAATAATCAGATATGATTAAAAATGATCGAAAATCTAATTGATCAGTTCCGCACCTTTGCAATTAGTATGAAAAAATTAAAAGTAAATAACATTGGATATAATCAGAAACAAATCATACAAAGTTGAGAAACTGATCAAGAATTAATCACCATCGACTCTTGATATCACAACCAGTGTTGTTATCTAGTTTTTTTTCCAATGGCATATTTAATCGGAGTTTAAATCTATTAATGCCAAAGATGCGTGTCATCCACAACAAAGTAAAATAATGTTTGGTTCAGATCTTACTTAATCTAGCTGGATTTACCTTGATCAGCATGAATTCTGTCTTAGCGAATGTATTTCTGAATAGACAATTATCGTTTACTAAGCTAATTGTGAGCTAATTTTAAGGACATAAATTCAAGAACAGAGCCGTTTACATATTACATTTAGAAGTGTCTGGAAGGGATGTTAAAGTTTTTGAATAATATGTTTTTAGAGTTCTAATAATAAGCATGTGACTCTTAAGAGCTTTGTAAAGCTATGGTCTCTAGCTCATGCTAGAAAGATTTCAGTTACAATTTTGATTATCTAAAGAATTTATTGAAAATCTTATTCCAATATTATGATGAGCTTAAGAAACCCTTTAAATTTTCTATAGATAAGGTAGCTACTCACACAATTTTAAAGAATCGCGTATTGTTAAGTAATTTAAAATTGTTGTCACATTTAAAAAATATTTCCTCAAAAAAACCCTAGTTGACTAGAGTGGAAGAGACATGAAATACAATCGGCATAAAATTTGTGATTTTTTTTTTGTTTTTTAAAAAATATTATTTTTAAGAGGTGAACAAAAAATATTGGTAGAGATAATATTGACACAGACAAACATCTTTTATTTATTTAAAAAAAAAGTAGCAGCATCCAGACACGGTAAATCGCTGTATCATGAAAAAATATGCAACATCTTCTTTCGTTCATTCATCATTTTATGCATCATAAATTTCAAGATTTTTTTTGGATATAACAAAATAATTAATTCCTCACTCATATTCAAAAAAAAAATTAATTCAATCAATTTATGAGGTGCTACATGCTATATGTTTATTAAAGCGTTTATAAATAAA